ATTAAAAGTTTCAAAGGAACTGAAGAATGTTAGTTCCCTCGATGGTTTTCTTGAAATACTGCAATTTTTTGTCTGATGCATTTTTCAGAAAATGCACATTTTTTTGTACTTCCAATATCCTCTCATCTAAATTTCCTCATGGAAATGTTTTGGACTTGCATTTTTAAAATTGCAAAAAGGAAACAGTGTTGAAATATTGAAAACATTCTCTAGGCACATGTTTATTTATGTTCTCGACATAAAGTATCTTGGCAAAAAATGTGTAGCTCGTTCCAATTGAAATGTATATCCCAAGTGTTTCAGCATTACATTAACACCTAGGAGGGGAGAAGGATGAAACATTGACTCTTTTGTGGTTTATTTCATAGAGGATGTGTTTGAAATAAAAATCAAGAAAAAAAAAATGAACAAAACACTTCTTTTGAATACCAGGTTCTAAAAATTCCATGGTTAAAATGTCTTCATGACCCCTCTGCTTGTCCATCACTATTCACCAAGGAAGAGAAAAGACTGCCAGAGCTTACCACCTATGTCTGCAAATTCAAGTCTATAAATGAACTAAGTATTTCCTATGTTTTAGCTGTTCCAATAAAATGAAATCCTGAACTCTATTTTATTGACTTTTTTTTTTTTTTTGGATGCACTATAAATAAAATTGCACACTGGAGGAGAACCCGGGGGTTTGGTGTTTATACAAACACAGGGAGATTCTCCTGTGTGTAAAATCGACCAAATTTAAATTAATTGCTGCAGGCCTGTGTCACTCGCAGCAGAAGGATTACTGGTGGTGCTGGCAGCCTCTGGCAGCCAGGACTGTGCAGGGCAGAGCCTCGTCTCACTGTCAGCACAGGGCCACAGTCACTGAGCCTCCTCTTGCTGTTTGCAAAATGGTGCAGAGAAACACAGGGCTCCAAAAAACCCAATAAAGGTGATAAAAGACACTTACAGTGATAATTTGGTGCTATTAAATACATAATTTTATTTTCTCTTTTTAAAATCACAGTTTATTTTTTTTACAATGATAACATCACAACTATAAATGTTATATTGGTATTTATAAATCTTAACATCAAAGAGAACATTGCATTGAAAAGAAATGTGGCAAGGTTAGGATTTTTCCATGGAAAGCTATAAACAGCTTGCAAAATCTACCAATTTTAGTCTAGATACCCATAAATGAAATGGCTGGGGCAGAGGACCTTAGGCACATCCTTATGTCAAGCAGAAATATCCACCAGCACAGCGCGGGACACCTCTGGGCTGAAGGTGCTGGTGCTCAGCCCCAGCCCTCCCTGAGGAAAAGACACCCCCGGGGCTGGGTCTAGCCTGGTGCTGTGGTCTGGACACTCAGCAGCAGACAGAGCTTGTTGCTTTGCTTATGCCGTGCATATTTTGCTTGCTTTTTTGTCAGGAGGAGTCTATTCTAGACAATGATGTGAACCAAGCCTTGGAAGAGAAACCACCATGAGACCCAGAGCTGGTGCTAGCTGCAGAACATGACACTGTGATGGTCAAAAGGAATCCAGTTTCTAGGGAGCTACAGTATTAACCTGTGCCTATATCTCCTTGGCTTTTTTTCCTCCCAGCTGTCCTTTTTGCTTGAATAGTTTTGTTTTTCTTCTCCTCATGGTTATTCCTGATGTGTTCACAGATGTCAATCATATCTTTAGTTCAACCATTTTTTGCTGTGCCAAACAAGCCAAAAACTTTTTGTCGCCCCTTATAAAATATGCTGTCCATTCTCCCTGTTGGCTTGTACCTGGTTGACATCCATTTCCATTTGATTTTTTCCCCCTGCACAGGTTCATACATTATTCCAAATGAAGTTTCTCCAGTGATTGGTGCATCAGAATTACAGGGGGATATGTCCTGGCTGTCAGTTACCACTTTTCCAGAAAATGCTTTTTCTATTTACAAAAGAATTCCCCGTTAACATGAATCTTCTCTCAAACTACTGAGGAACCCGACAAGGCTACCTGGCAAGTAGTAGATGATACAAATATATTTTAAATCAACAGTTTTTGACATACTGGCAGTGTGAACTCAGTATTTCTGCAGAAGAAGCTCTCCATGAAACGTGCGTTGCCGTTCAGGGTTCTTCCATCCCGCTCCCAGTTTTATGATGCTCTGCCGTGTACTCGCTGTGCTGAATCAGCTCCGGGCAGTTTCCACGTGCAGCCGCACAACAGCTCCTCAGGATCTGTGTTTGTGCATCACTCGTGTCTGGTACCTTTCGTGCCAGGCAGCCACGATGCGTTTAACAATGCCAAAAGATTGGTTTGGGGCTCAGGGGGATGGGATGGTGCTGCAGGCATCCTACTTAATTCATTTTTAGAGAGGTCCACTGAGTATTTGCAGCAAGGTCTTCCAGCTCCTGCTGCGAGCAGCTCAGCGGGATGCGGTGGGGGGTGCAGGAGGAGCTGAGGGAGTGCACAGCTGCTGCTTCCTTCAGGAGGGGTGGGGGAGACACCCTGGGCATCGCTCTTATCATCTACCTTTAGACACTGCAGAGTTAGTTGCCTAAGTCTAAACTGATCATCTAGGCTACATCTCTAGTCAGCAGGACAGATTCATCCCAGTTGCTTTCAACACTCATTTTCCACTGTGATAGCACCCTCAGGGAACGCCTGTCTCACTCCATCAAGTACAGCATGACTCCAGGTGAATAATTTGGAAGTGGACAACTAACTTTGAAACGTCTACAATGTCATAAGATTAATTTTCCCTCCTCTCCACATTCCGCCCAAAAAAATCCAGGGAATTCTGCAGGGCAGCTTCACTGGCCAGTGGCTGGCGGCCTCCTGCGCTCTGAGCAGCTTTGCTGGCCTGTCAGCAGCTTGTCCGTGTTACAGCCTGCAAAGTTGGAGTTTTTCTCAGAAAGTGTCTTGTCTTGCCAAATAAATGTAGTATTAAAATTAAGATTTCTCTGGGCTGCACACCGTTATTGTTTTCAGTCAAAATTTCCTTTACAATACTGGTTGTGTCTTGAAAATAATTAATTTGACAGGAAGTTAAAAAGAGAATAAAATTGAGAGGTTTGAAGGCTGGTTTCCAGTGCTCATTCTTCTGTCTTTATCTCACAAGGAAAGACTGCACACAGGTGTCAAATGAGAAGGCTGCTCATAATTACACTCCTTAAACACTTAATAACATTTTCTTAAATTAATATATTCCCCATCTGTGTAGCATTTAAGACATTCAGCTCATAATATTGCCTAGTTTATCAGTGTCAAATGACACATACTCAATCCATTGGAGAATATTATCAACAGATAGAGGCTTAACGTGCATTATTGCTCATTCAGCTAATGAGTGTGATTTGAGCTAGTACTTCTAATTAATAACAGAACTAAAATTCCAGTTATAGTGGGGGTGCTAACTTAGCTTTCTGCAGAAAAGCCGTGCAGATACCAAAAGAAAGTGGTGTGCTGCTGGGCGTCCCTGCAAGCAGGCGTCCCGCGGGCACGGACCTGGCTGTGCTGAAGGCCAGGAGAGGCCGGCGGGCGCGGGGGGAGGAGGGGGCCCGCGGGCTGGGCTGATGAGAACTTCTCGTTACCATGGCTGAAGGAACGTGGGGAAAGGGGTTCGGTTCGGCCGTGCCGAGAGGCTGGGACGGAGCTGCAGGCTCAGCGCCTGGGTGACCTGCACCCACAGCTCCTCCCGAGGTTCTCTCCCACTGCTGGTTTGCCTTGGATCCTCAGTGTGGTGGTACCTAAAAGCATTTGCGTCTTATTTATTTACATCATTTTTCGTAATTAAAGTACATGCTCATTTTGTGGCAGAATTTCTACTTTAACTAGCGCAGTGCCTTACTAAATAAAAGCACATCATTAAAACGCTTTCCTTTCTCTTCTGCACACTCTGGACACATTGTCATTGACTCAGTTTTACAGGAGGTAAAAATGTCAGGAGTTCAACTGGCCGTGACCCTGAGCTAGGATATTGGATCAAGCTTCAAGTCTCCAGTCCTTCAGCTAGGATTAATATGTTTCTGATGAGCTGTTGTGCTTGCACCTTCAAGCCAGCTGGGAATCAACTTGCTTGATTCTATTTGGTCTCCCCTTTCTCCCTTTCTTTGTCTAAATCAGACTCGAAGGTTTTGCAGCTAAAGCGGATCAAGTGAAGGGCTTTGCAGAGCCCAGCCCCACGCTGGGTCTCTCCGAAGGGACAGCACACGGCTCCCTGCATCCGAGCCTTCCCCTTATGGAACATCCTCTCCGTCCCACACACATCAACATTTCATGGGATCTATATCTCAGTTTACAAAACATAAATAATCGAATCAACCAGATTTTAAAGGAGAGGAGACAGAGACTGAAAACCTGTGCAGCATTGACCAGACAGTTTCACGGCTCTGTGAGGATTTGGTCTAAAACAACAGAAAGAGAGAGGTGGATGAGAAATCAAAAATGGAGGAAAAAACCCCAGGATATTGTGAGCGTGGCAAAGACCTATAACCACTGGTGAGTCACAGGAGTCAGCTAGTGCCTGCAAGAGAGAAATTAGGTCCTGCTTTCCCAAAAGACTGTGTACCCCAGTCCTCCAGGCCAGTGAATGGGCTTGCTTTTCCTGTGAAAACCTGGCAAAAGGGAACTTTTGGAGGGGAGTAAAAGGGATGATGCTGGGGACATGGAAGCTCGAACTGTTCAGGGATTAATGGTCTGCCCTGGAGTTTTGCAGACTTTGTGCCTAAACATAGGACTTCTTTAGAGATGTCTAGTGGAAGCAGAAACAAATCCATGGGAATAATTTAGGTACAGCTGATCGTGTCCTGGAATCAGGACGTAGATGGGTTTACATGCAAGGTCCCTCCTACACTATTCCCAGTGATTCCATAAGCGTATGGCTATTGTCCTGAGTCATGCAAAAATCATGGCCTGTTTTCTAGTTGTGCGTTTACAGCTGATGAAAACACATTTCCTGCAGTTCCCCTGGCTGCAATATCAGCCCACGCCCCGTCTAGTGAGAGCGATTGTTTCTCAGTGGCAGTAACAAGCAGAGAAGGCAGCATGCCGCCTTTCCCAAGATGACTGGTGGTGTCTCCCCCAAAATCCTGGAGAGGATACGGCAGACCGCAGGTAGGAGAAGGGGAAGGCACACGCCCATGCTGAGCACTCAGCAGCGAGCACGGGGCTGGTGCAGCATCGCTCCCGCTTCCCCCACCAGCCGCGGCTTTTGCTCAGGGACGTTCCAGCGCCGGAGGTGGGTTGCTCGCCGCAGTCCGTGGTGCCGCGGGCGTTATCCCGGGCCAGAGCTGGGCTGTCACGGGGGCGGTGGTCCCCAGGCAGCCCCCGGCCCGGCCGGGCAGCGGTAACACCCAGCGATTGCCAGGGCCTGTTCCCACTGGCGGGCCGGGGCCGGGGAGCATCGCACAGGGAGCGGGGGAGCGACGGGCAGTTTTAAGACCCGACTCCAGATGAGAGGCAGTCTCCTTCAAAGCACTTTTATACACCATGGGCACTGCTGCCTCTCTGCAATCATGTTGTAGCAGAAGATATTCTGGCAAGCAAAACAGACTTTGGGATTTTTATATTATTTATTTTATTTTTTATTACTCTCTATTCTGAGGTCTCTTTCCCCGTTATATTGCTTATACTTGTCAGAAAAATAACTGCAAGGAAGAATCTCAGAGAAATTGGAACAAGATTTTTACTTTGTTTTTGTTCCTGGTGTTTTGGGCTATTTTTTTTTTTTTTTTTTTTTTTTTTGACTGTAATTGCAGACTCTTCACTGCTGAGCACAGGCTCCGAGCCAGGCATTGTTCCCTTTTTCCAGCTGACAGAAATTTTTTGTAACAACATTTTAGTCCAAGGGGAAAAGTTAAATATAGGCAGGATCAGGAAAATTACCGTGCAGCGTGGTGGAGAAAGTGCTGACTTGAGCCTGTTCCTGAGCAAAGGCAGCAGTGATTTCACGGGCCACGGGAGCTGACTGACGAGGGAAGGAGTCCTGGTTTGCTGCTGGGGCTTCCAGCGCATCTGCAGCCCAGCGTTGTGGGGTTCCTCCTGCCACCCCGCCGCTGGTGACCGTCACCACGTCTGCAGGTCACCGCAGCCTCCTGGGAAGCCCCCACGAAGCCAGGACCGCTCCTCTCCTTGGGGCCCCGTAAGCCGACGCGTCCGTCAAAACCCGAAGCGCTGCCCGGAGCTGGCTGCACCTGCCCCCAGCGCGCAGAGACCTTCCCGCTTTCCTGGTGACTTTGGGAAAGAACCGCCAGCCTGTACCGGCCTGCCCCGGCGAACCCTGCCTGGCAAGGGAGGCGCCTTCCGAGCTTCCTTTTTACCTCAGAAAAGCAAATAAACGGAGACAGAATCTGAAATAGGAAAAAGAACGTAGGAAAGGAAAACTGGGAAATACAGCAAGGATCAGCTGAAGAAGAGGGACTGCACCGGTGTGACTGAGGAGTCGCTCAGCTCCCGAGGCAAACTGCCCGGCTGAAGGAGGCACCACAGAAGCAGGGGCTCTGCGGGACGGGGATTTCAGCCTTCTCCTCCCACTGTGTGTGACCTGGGGCAGCTCCCTCCCACTTAATGGCAGGTTTCTTAGGTTTGGCCTGGAATCCACTGTGATTATACAATCATATATCACTTGTCCTGCCCTCAAATAAAAGTGTGCAACAGTCAATTTGTTAATCTGTTTTCAACAGTCTGCAAGTTGATAAAACATTATTGAAAGAAGAATTAAAAAACAAGGGTGGCTGGAAGAAAATACAGCAAAATTTTAGCAAAGATAAATCCTTGCACCAGACAGGTTTTTTTGACAGAACAACTAATTTTCTAAGCAAAAGTCCATGGACTTCAGTAAAGCATAGGACTAGTTATGTTGGAGAAAACTGAGCCTAGGTGAGTCTGGAATAGATAAGAAGGAGATAACAGCAGGTTGCATTGTGTGGAAAATTATAGGCGTAAGAAGTGGAGTTTCTCTGTAGTAGGTCCTTGAAAACATCACAGTATTTTCATGAGGAATTCTGGCACAAAGACAGTCATTAAGTTAAACTTGCTGATGATCTAAAGCTATGATGCTATTATTACCAAGGAGCCGGTGCTCATATCGGTGTTTCACAGGGGCTGTGTGGGAACCGTGCGTGCCTGCTGGTTTTAAATATGGAATCATAAGCATTTATAAAAGTGGCCAGGAAGTTTACAAACTGAGCACTAGTGATGGTCTCCAGTCCTGCTCCATTCTGTGTTTGTGTAAATTGATTGCAGAGTGTCTCCACCAGCTTCTTCTCTTTATTTGAAATTCAAAGAGTGCTTGCAGTATCTTTCCTCCCTGGTACAGCCTTTACTGCATAATAAACAGCATAGTCAGTGATTACTGTTTGAACCCAGTGACTACCAGTCTAACATGGCTTACAAATTTAGTTAAAATGGAGGCTTCATGTGGGAATTAATAGAGACGTGTCAGGAATATGCATAACATCAGTTACTTTAAGTTAATGCTTTGCATGCAAGATGGGGTGGATGGGTCACTGTGCTGTTTACTGACACTGCAAGGTAGTCAGAGTGCTTCTGGTTTATGCATTAACAGAATTAAGAAAGCAAATCCCCAGAGGGGCAGTGACCTAGCTGTGTGATTCCCACTTACTGAAATGGATTGTACTGTCTTCTCTTCCCATGTTTTGAAAACACACACACAGAGTTCCTTCTATGCTAATCAACTAGGTCAAATAACTTTATTTTCTTCTTTCTTCAAAATATCATTCCGCTGCCAGGATTTTCTCGATGACATGTCAGTGCCTCCTCCAGCCTGATGACTGGTCTTTCTCACCCCACCAAATCATTCAGCCCTTGTCCTACAGACAGATTTACCTTCAATTCTACAACCAGCTAAATGGAAATGCGAGCTCTGTGTGCTGCTCGTGGCTGCTTCTGAATTTCATGTCTGCAGGTCTTGAGGGACACATGAGAACTTGGTAGAACCTGAAGACGGCTCAAGACAGTAAGGTAGAACCCCCCAAACAAGAGCAAAAATTAAAACAAGAAACAACAACAAAACATTTTTCCTATGAGCAGCGACTGAGAAGCCATGTGGTTTCTAAAGTGGAGACCAGAAGGGGAATATGATAGAAGCGATTAAAACATGTAGGGCTTGAAGAGATGTGTCAGAGGCCAAAAGACAATCCATGAAATTCAAATTATATTTTGCACAGTCTGCAGTTTGCTGAGGGAACTTGCTGCTACATTAAATTGTTCAGGCCAAGAAAGCAGTACAGTTTTAAAGCAAACCAGAGTTTCTATAGTTACTGATAAAGATTTCTGAAGAACAGCATTCTCATCTATCAGGAATTAAGACAGCCACTAGCAAAAAGCATCTTGGGTGAAACCAAAAGTGTGGTGAAAAGAACACAGCTGACCTTATTTATGAGTACATTGCACTTTCCTCTGAAGCAGCTCTGCTTTGCTTTTTTTCCTGCTTTGTTTCACCTCCAAGCACACACATTCCCTCTCCTCTGTCTGTAACCTCTTCCCAGTAGTTTCCCTGTCTGCAGAGTAAGCAGTGGAGCCCATGGGGGAAAAAAGTTGTAAAAGGAAGGGAAAATGGTGAGATCAGTATATATCTTTTATCTCACTTCTGTTGCTCTGTAGTTATGTAAATGCTGTATTTAATATTCTTGTATAATAAATGCATCTACAAATGCCAATTATGTCTGGCTCCTCTCCACCCAAATTCCTAAATGATCCAAAGGACAAATTAAAAATTAGGTCAGCGCATCTTTGCAACAAGAGTGAAAAGCTCTTTCAACTCTCAGGGAGTCCTGAAGACTTGTAAGCCTAATAATGCATGTACCCCCTTTATTATTTTATTTCTCTATTTTTACTTGAGAAAAAACCCCATGTGCAGGGGACAGATGAGTTTAACACTAAACAAAGCTTTTCTTCCATTACTATTTAGAGGACTTTAAAACACCTGACGTGTTGAGGAGGAATAGTCTAGGGACTTTCATTAAGTCATGTGACAAGAACTTATTTGAGGAATGTTGCGACTGTACTTCTGCACTGTGCTGTTTTAAGGAGGCATGTAAGAAAAAAAATCAATGGCTTTCCCCCTTTTTCTACTCCATGCAACAAACTGCTGCGCGGGATGCTGGAGGAGCCTCTGGGGCACACTGACACACGCCATCTGTCCCTTTGCTGTCCATCCCTCCGTAGCTGCTGTACATATAGAGCCTGACAGCTGATATTTCAGCCCAGAACTGATTTTTCTCTTCAGATTCCAATAACTGTGATCAAACACAGAGCATACTTTTCTTTAGCTGATCCTACCTCATCAGCTGTCGCTGGCACACACCTATGGCACGGGGGTTGCTTGGGTCAAAGCTCTCTTTGCTCAGGTGGAAGAGCGCTTAAGGTCTTGACTTGCTCTGGAGGGAGTTCACCCAGCACCAGATGGGATAGAGCATCTCAGAATGAGCCAAACTGTCTGTGTCATCTGACACAATCCTAACACAAAGTCTTCTGCTAGAAGATGCCCAGTGCTGACATGAGAGAAAACCTGGCTATTTTTATTTGACGGAATTCTTGGAATTGTAGCTTTGACTGCAAACATCTCGGTAGACAGCTGCATCATGGAGTTGTCCTCTAGCTCTGTCCTGGACCTCTCCAGACTCTGGGCTTGAGTCCTCAGCAGAACCTGGTTCTCTTCAGATTTCCTCAGTTGAATCCACACACTGGCTCTGTATTTAAATTTCAAAGACAGCCCTCCAGTGCCCCTTCTCTCTCCCGGAGGTTGGAGGTCTCACAGTCTTGCCCAGTGCCCCATCCGAGCTTGGAAATGCAGAGGCAAGATGTTCTCATTTACACCTGACATCTTTGGTAGTAGGTGCTGGCAGAAGCTGATAGATATGTCACAGGTTCTGAAATTATTATTCTTGACCTTAGATCACACAGGTAAAAATACACAGCTTGATAAGGTCAGTAAAGAAGCCTGTTTGCTATTTCATACTCCAATTTCCTGTTCAACAGCCAAACTGTTTTGAGTTTTCTTTAGAATAGGGTCCCACTTGTGTCCATGAGGATCCTCCTTCTTGCATGTTTTCTTTTTTCTTAAAATCTCATGTTTTCTCTTTTCCTCTGAAATTTGAAATCACTGTTCCCTAAAATAATCAGGAAGAGAGTTTGGCAGAGCGTTCAGGTCCCTTTATCAGTCAAGCCCTCATGCCACCCATAGGTGAGTGACTCGGCAGCATTTTGTCATCAACTGCTTGACATTTCAACCAAGTTGAAGGTAAAATGCCAGCTGGAAAGGCTGACAACACAAGAAATAACATAGAAACATTCAGAGCTCAGTACAGAGAACAGGCAGTATAAAAACATAGAGTACAGTGTACATGGTTCCATTTCTTTGCTATTTAAAGCCTAGAAAAGCCCTTCTCCATGAGCTATTTGGGTGGTGGGCTTGGTAATGGTGTATATACATGATAATTGTTTAAAAGATATGTACAAGCCTGCAATAGGAATTTGTTGAGCCTGCACAGCAATCTCCCTCTGTGGGTTCTTCACTGATGGAAGGATTTTATTTCACCCTCTCTCCTGAGTTCAACATCCTAGCAAGGGACACTGACAGGAATGTTCACCAGGTGGTTAACAGTATTTCATTTCATACATCGTCTACAATGTACTGAAGTCAGCACGCTAAGTAAAGGTGGGGAGACAGAAGCCTGTGTGGATAAGTACAGAGAGGGGCACAACCAATGTAAGCATTATATCTACACAATGAACACTTTTTATAGACTAAAATTGAGACCTCATGGTTTTAAAATTAAAAAGTAGTATTCACCAAGTGAGTCAAAAAAGCCTTGCTGAATTCAAAAACTATGACATGGGTTTTCCGTTTCCAACAAGGTATCTGTGTTCCTGGTGTTTCTGCAGACACTGCGTTGGCAAACCTTGTACTTGCTTCAGTGTCTCATGTTCTCTATGGCTCACATAAAACCATCCTTTGTCGGAGAGGCCCAGCGGAAGAGCTGATCCTGACCTGAAGTGAGGTCTGTCAGTGGAAGACGATCTTCTCAGCCCCCATCAGCTACGGAGGCTCCATCAAGGAATAATGCCCCAGAGGGTCTTCACAAAACAGGGTGATATGGGGGAGACAGTTGACAAGCTGCCTTGTGTCACGAAGCACACAGACACCAGGGATCTTCTTCCACTGCCTGAAGATGCTCCTTGCCCAGCAGAATGGATGAAGTATTCATGGAACATGCATGAAGGTAGGACAGAGGAATGTAAGATTCAGCTGCACAGCTGGGTGAGGGTATGGAAGGACAGAAAGGAGAGAAATGAAATACTGGCCAGCATTCCTAGATCATCTACAGTTAGCCTGAAAGCTCAGCTTGCGGGCCACTGGATCCCATTCTACCAGAAGGCTGAATTTTACAGGTAACCACAGAACACCTTGTAGACTGGGATGGCCATGTGCCTGCTAGTGGAAGAAGGCAGGAAGACATTAATGTTAAATAAAGCTGATTAGCTGTGAAAAGAGCAGAGCTGTTATACATTCATCTGTGGTTTGTGGCTAAAACCCCAGAAAGATGTATGTGTTGCAAAAAAAGTAAGACTAGCTTTTGGTTTGGTTTTTTTTTTTTTTTTTTTTTTTTTTTTTTTGGCTGCCAATGTATCAAGCCAGATATCTGAGTAGGAGGCAGGACTGGAAACTTTTGTTGAAGAAACAATTTGAAAACTGACTTTACTAAAACTTTGAGGTATGAGGCATGTGCTAGAATATAAGGGTCCCTAGCTATGAATTATGTGGAAAGGGATTGAAGAGGGTATCAACTACAGCAGAGGGGAAGAGTGGATAGTATTTTGTATTAAAGACATTTTCACTATTTTCAGAATTGTTAATTAGAACACCCAATAAATTAAGTCAGTGTGTTATCATCTAGGTCTTACATGAGAAACCTTACCTTGTCGATCCTGTTATGACAGATGAAGATTCATTGCTCATCAGAAATTTGCAGTTACTTTAAAATTGTTTATAACCTGATCATAGGTTATACTATTGGATGCAGGATGGGGCAATATATCCTCATTACAGGACGTATCGTCACCTCATTTTGTTCTAATACAGCCACAGAGAAACTCGTAGGTAGAAACACAGGGACCAGGAATGCAGATGCTGTGTGCAGAATGGAGGTTTGGGTCCTGAGCTGGGAAACTCAGACATAGAAAGGGCAATTTTGTCACTGTGTGTATAGGGAGGAGGTCAGTGAGGAGGAGCAATGTTGTGTCTGTGCTTTCAAAGGCTGATGAAAATCTAAGGAGAGGATAAAAAAACAGAGAAAAATCCTGTCTGGTTGATGAACTACCCTACAGTGAGACATTTAAATAGTTCTGTCTGTTTATCTTTTTTTTCCAAACAGAAATGACAACAATAATAAGTCATCACTTTCATTAGTAAAAATATCCAGACCTAATAAGGTTTGATATTTACAGGAAAAGGCACTATAAGGACTAGTGACAGGGCATCAATATTCACCGAATACAACCAGCTTGTGATTGGGAACAATTGGCCACAAGAACTGTTTATCTGGGAAGAAAATTCAAAGAGAAATATGGAGGAAATGCAGGCTACCCCAAAGCATATGGAAAATCTTTCATTAGTCTCAGCTGTGTCTGTATTTCCTGCATTTAATTACACCTGCAGTATTAGGGCTGTGGAAATGGAACGCACTCATGAGCTGGTACTCTCAGCGCTCGCACGTGCTGTGCAAGCTGCTCTCGCTCAGAGCAATAGGTGAAGCCCTCTTACTCGGGAATTTTCTCGTTATGTATTTACATCCTTAACTCGTTAAAATGTAATTGTATTTCAAAAATGCTTTCTCATTGCGAAATCAAATGAGCATGGTTGTAATAGTATATATTTTTTTCATTTGGAGTGTACACAGCAGCTATTTAGCCTGCTAAGAGCCCCTCGGGGTTCAGAATCCGTGCCACATTGCGCTGCAGGCTGTGAACGCCTACAAGCGCGTTCTGAGTTTCCGCGAGGCTGCCCGGGTCCTGCTTGGCGCTGGGCACAGCTGCCGCGGAGCCGAGCGGGAGGGCGGCCGAGCCTCTCGCCCAGCCGAGCTGCAGCCAGAGGCACCCAGGGGGCACTGGCCTATCCGGCGCCCCGGCCCCTCCACCGCTAATTGATAACTGGCGTTCAATAAAGCGAAGTGGCGTGCACCCCTCCTCGCCGTGTTATTTCGGCATAATTAAGCAATGATGTAAGCTGCTGCTTTCTCAAAACATACATGCGCATAGCAACAACCAAAAAAGGTTATATTTCCTTCCTCACAAGAAAATAACTCATTAATGCAAATTTGTTTGGCATCTCTGGTTCAGTTTGCCATGGGCAAAAGAAAGGAGTCAGGTTCAATCCAAGTTTAATTGCTACAAATGCTTTTCTGGGACCACATGAAAACACCGTGATTCATACATGCTATTAAGCTTTCCAAGTGATCGCCTAAATATGTGAAGTAGATACAGAAAGGATAAACAAAAAGTTTAAAAGCAAATGCAGCCTTAGTTATACCAGAATAACCTCAAAGCAATTCTGTTGATGCGGTAAGGTAAATGAGGTCAGGCTTCAGCCCCATTTTATTTACAGCAGAGACTCCCAGTGTCTCCCAGCTCCAGCCGCCCTGCACGACAGAAACCACACGGGGCTGGGCCGGTGCACGGCCGGGGAGGGGGGCACTGCTCTGTGCGAGCAGGAACAGGCTGGCTGCTGGGGGCAAAGAGCAGGTCTTCTTCAGAAGTTGGAAGCGAGGAAGGAAGAACAGAAGGGAAATTGGAAGAAAAAAAAAAAAAAAAAAAAAAAAAAGAAAAAGGAAAGCTAGAAAAAATGTCAGAGATGGAAAGACAGAAAGACAAAGAAAGCAAAATAAAAGTAATACATAAATAGAGAAAAAAGAGCAAGAAACACTTCCAACAATGCAGATGGAACTGGATATAGATCAGAAAGAAACAAAAGCTATATAGCAATATAAATTTTTAAGCAAAACTCACCACTGACCTCAGATAATAAGAAACAGTTCAAGCCAAATAATGGAAAATCAATGGGGGTAAAAGAATAACCCAGGAGTGAGTCTGCAGAAAGTATTCCTTGAAATAAAAGAAGCAATGAAGAGCTGAAGTCATCTTTGCTTAGAAATGGGTGTGAAATATTGAAAGAAATAATAGACTTTTTTCTTGGCATGTATTGTGCAAAAAGGGAAGGGTTTTTTTCCCTAGGTCAGTAGAGAGATGTTTTTCCTTTCTTGGACAAGGGAATTTCTAGAAAACCTCTGTCTTGTGCTAATTTTTCAGCATGTATGTATTTGTTCAAGTGAAAAATATAAGCAAAATTGAAACCTGATAGAGCAAATAAGCACAGTAAAGGGTATAGTTCTGGCTAGCTATAGGGGTTGTTAGAATATAAGTACTAAAAATTTTACTACCCAAATAATGCACACATTTCAAATTTGCCTTCATTTCAACTGATAATAAAACCAAGGTAATAAAATTGTGACAAATCACATAAAGTTGTGATTTGCTGTTGAAAAGTAGCTTCTTGATCAAAAATATTTTATGAGTTATCATTTTTACTGCCTGCTATATTCTATGATATTTTTAAATTAAACAAGAAATAATTTTTGTTTTCAATAAAAAGATTGAAACACTACTTTCCACAATTTTGAAAGAAGATGTTTCACCAGCATCTGAATTCTTTTTGCAATTATACTTCTGTGTTTTGTTTTTCAGACACCAAACCTTGTTGCAACGGACATTATTTCACTAAGGCTTCTAATTTAATTTTATTTCCATCTTATTTTTCAAAGGATGCATGTGGGTTCTGGGAAAATGGCATAAAGGAATGTTTTTATTCCAGCAGAAGGCTCAGAAATTACTTTTTGCAGTCTGTGCAGTAAGAAAAGTTGATTATTGTCTCTATAAACAGAACGTTTGGTCATTGGGGATTGCTTCCACAACAAAAGCTTCACTTCTGGAGCACTGTATCTTAAATTGCAAGCGACAATAAAGACAAGAACTGTGTCAGTGGCGTCTTCCTTTCCCTTGTCCCAACAGAGACTTTCTCCAGAAGCAGCGGTTTGACTGAAGGCAGGGGCCAGGGCGGGGATGAAGAAGCGCCCCAAGGAGTTCTAGGCAAGGCATCGCTCCCGGCCTCTTACACCCCACCCCGGAGGTGTGAGAACCGCCCCGCCTGTCCTTCCTCCTGCCCCACGGGCCCCCCGCGCCCCCCAGCGCCAGCGCCGGGGCCGTGACTGGCCCCCGGGCAGGAGGGGCCGGGCGGTGGGGCAGCGGGTTCAGGGGCGGCGGGCAGGTTCCCAGTTCGCTCCGGGTGGAAGAGGAGTGGGAACAGCACAGGAGGCAAGGAGATGAAGAAGGCCCAGCACGTGCGAAATGTGAAATAGGACGGTCTGACAGCTGCATTTTGAGGATGGGAAGGCGTGTTGGGGAAAGACAGAAAGCACTTTAAAACAATTTCAGGGAGGAGGTTTTCCTGGTTGTTTCTTGGTTTTTTTCAGAAGTCATTAAATGAGATGTACATTATGTGTACAAGGCAAGCTAGCTTGGCAACGTTAAGGAGATAATAAAGTGCACCACAGAGTTTTCATACTGTATTTGAACAGTGTAAATTAGTGAAACGCCAGAGAAAGCAAACTTGTTTGCACCGGTTGAGAACTTAAACACGTTGTGAAGTTAGCGTTCCTGTGCTGTTTTCATATTGTTTGAACTTCCCTACAGTTGCAGTAGTTACTTGTGAATTTGTGAAAAAGAAAAATAAAATCTTTCCATTCTGATCAAGGATATATGATATTTTTTTAAGAGTGGCATTACAGAGGAGCATGTAGAAGGAAATAGTACTTCCCTGAGCCCACAGCTGGCTCAGCCGGATGAAGCCCGGCTGTGGGAGAGGGCTGGTGGAGGTGGGCTGTGCAGGGCCGGGGCACGGGCCCACGAGTTGCTGCTACTGGCAGGGGGACTCTGCGGGCTGGGACCGGTTTGCCCCACACAAACATCCGCCCGACGACCCCACCCATGGCGCCTGGAGCCTTTTGACCCCACGAGCTTCTGGGCTGCTGCGGAGCAAGCGAAAATGACATGAAAACTGAAGAGCTCGGTTATACAGTAGGAATGCAAATAAATTGGGCTCCTGAGTGAGCGGAGTTGCTCAGGCTCGCAGGGGGCTGAGCTCCCCACTCCGGCCCCGCAGGGCTCTGCCCACACTGGGGGGGCTGCCCCTTGCAGAGCACTCGCCGTGGGGACCAGGATGTCACCTCTGGGCCCCCCACGCTGCGGGAGGGCCCTTCAGATAAGTGCAGTCTGGCCCCATGGATTGAGGGGACGGTCGTGAGTGGAGCATGATTCCTGGCTTGGGGTTAATTTCTATTACATTTGCTTCCAAGAAGTTAGAAATACACGTTAAGGAAACAGTATAATTCATTTCTCCAGTTTAAACTACTGCTTCATGGTGAAATGTAAACCTCTTATAGCACAAATTAAAACTGAGATAGGCAATGTCTGAATGTTGATCAGTCATAATAAAATCTTCTGAATCCTCAGAGTTACATTTCCTTGAGATGTTAATTTTAAAAACTTCTGAAAGTATTTTAAACAGATTGAGACTGGAATCTTTTTCAGATGTCACAACTTTTTCATGATACAGAGAAGAAAGATCCTTTGAGATACCTATAATCATACCGGTGCACGAGGAATGTCTGTGGGCTGCAAAGTGTGAGAGGTAAAACTATCACTCTGAATTGATCTGGTGTCGATATTGTGAGAATGCACCGACCGTGCCTGCAATTTCATGTACCAGTTGAACATGAATTTGGGCTGCACACGTACCAACTCCTTAGTGCATCCTGTTCCTTGTATTTCACAGTGCCACATTTGTACTCTTTTCTTCTAAATTACAAAAATATTATCCTGGTCCTTTTTATAGTGACCTTGAAAACACATCAAAGTCATGCTAATCTATACTATGGAAGTTTAATTTAAATCTTTGTGAGTTTTCTGGAACACCATTATCAAAGAGTTAATATGAACTGTGATGTTGAAGCATATTTAACACTTTGATGAAACTACCTTTATCTTCACCCCATCTCCTGAAGGGATGATAAAAAAAAAAAAAAAAAAAAAAGCAGAAGCAAACACCAAGTTCTGCGGATGAAAGGGAGGGAATGGTTGCTGGGTGTGGGGTGTCTTCCCGTGGGCAGAAGCGGGGGGTGCCCCCCGCACCCCAGGCACCCCAGGCACCCCAGGCAGCCCAGGCAGCCCAGGCACCCCAGGCACCCCAGGAACCCCAGGCACCCCAGGCACCCCAGGCACCCCAGGCAGCCCAGGCACCCCAGGTACCCCAGTCACCCCAGGCACCCCAGGTACCCCAGGCACACCAGGCACCCCAGGCACCCCAGGCACCCCAGGCAGCCCAGGCACCCCAGGTACCCCAGGCACCCCAGGCACCCCAGGTACCCCAGGCACCCCAGGCACCCAGACACCCCAGGAACCCCAGGAACCCCAGGCACCCCAGGAACCCCAGGAACCCCAGGCACCCCAGGCACCCCAGGCACCCCAGGCAGCCCAGGCAGCCCAGGCACCCCAGGCACCCCAGGAACCCCAGGCACCCCAGGCACCCCAGGCACCCCAGGCAGCCCAGGCACCCCAGGTACCCCAGTCACCCCAGGCACCCCAGGTACCCCAGGCACACCAGGCACCCCAGGCACCCCAGGCACCCCAGGCAGCCCAGGCACCCCAGGTACCCCAGGCACCCCAGGCACCCCAGGTACCCCAGGCACCCCAGGCACCCAGACACCCCAGGAACCCCAGGAACCCCAGGCACCCCAGGAACCCCAGGAACCCCAGGCACCCCAGGCACCCCAGGCACCCCAGGCAGCCCAGGCACCCCAGGTACCCCAGGCACCCCAGGCACCCCAGGAACCCCAGGCACCCCAGGCAGCCCAGGCACCCCAGGCACGTGGCTCTCCGGCACAGCCCTCACCACACGAGGCACCCAGGACGTGATGTGTGCACGGGAATGTCAGAATGGTCAATTTTGTTGCCACAAACCAAAATCAGTTCTGATCGGCGCTTTCAGCAGGCTTGGCACTCATGCCTGATGCCAAGAGGGAAAGGAGAGAGACACCAGAGATCTCAAGTCACGGCTGTGCAGGCCAGGAGCAGTCTAAGACAACTTTTGTTGTGTAGCACTGCCTCCATACTAGGGAGAGAAACTACTGCACAGAGGTGTAAAATGAAGGCCTGCGACACTGTTTTGGGAGAACTGTGCAGAATTTATGATATTTATATCCTTACTGAGTATTAATTTTAAAGTACATAAATTTAATGCTGCACAGAGGCATTTGTTCAATAGGAGGAAGGGTTGCAGTCCCACCCTGAATGTCCATCCTTCTCTTGGTTTCTTACAAGTCTTTCTCCCTGAGCAGAGATCTCCTAGGACATGTCCTGATGAATATCTTTAGGTGAGATTTTTTTTCCAAATTTCTTTTGCCTGTCCTCACACTTTGCTTTCTTCAGCACAGTCTCTGGAGGTGGCCTAAGGGCCATACCTCCTTCTTCAGCTGGAACTTATACACCACCACAATCAGATTTTTCTCCACCTTCATGGAGCCTGCCAAGGTCATTAGTGAACCACTGTGCTGGAGACAGCTACCTCAGGGCATGTGAGATCATTTCCAGAAAAGCTCGTCTAATTTCCAAACCTGTACAAGTTTCTCTAAAAGGCATTGCCTGTGCCCAGACCTCTGCAAATATCCTTAGTTCAGCGCGCTTACAACAAACCACCGCTGTGAAGCGGGATGCTGAGATATTACTACTGAAGCAGCTCCAAAAGGCAATGAAATGTCGTGGCTGCAAAGCCTGACCAATCTGAGACATAATTTCTTCCTCAACCGCCTGGCAGGCAGCTATCTGCAGCATCGGTAGCCACTGCTTTTTTCAAAGAGCCTGCGCTAGTGTCAGGGCTCTCTGTTGCTCAGCTATTCTGCTGGTCCAGGACCAGCTGTGACTAGCTGACATTTCCACCAGGCAAGACAACTTCAGTCACATCCTCTATAACCTCTGCTCTGTATTTTCAGCTTTCCTGAAAAAATATCAAAAAAGGATCAATGCAATTGAACAACGTTGATGGGAAAGATACCTCGTTGAGAAACAATTTGCGCTGAAGCCCCAGCAACGACTGCTCAGCCTGCTCTGGTCCTGCACGGTGTGCGTGGGAGCAGATGCAGGTCAGTGCCAGCTTCGCTGCCCTTTTTGAACTGCCTCCAAAGGCAGCAGCCCTAGTCACATTTGGTATAAATGCGCTGATATGATTTTCTGCCTGAGATAACACACTGCAAAGTTCTATGACACCTGCACTGTAGTAGCATGTACCACCCTGGTGAATAATGCATTGATCCAGAAGCACCTGCAAATTCTTTGTGATAAATTCCTTTTGCTCCTAGTCATTTTCCTTTAAAAAAGCAGAATGCATACAGACTGCAGATTGTGCTTTAGCCTGTACAGACTTCAAACTAGTTGTCTCTTATTTGGGAACTGATGCATGCTGTGGCTGTCCAATAGCATTACTCTAAAACTGGGAGTAATAAAAATTCTATTTTTTCCATAGAATGAGAAAGGGGATTGATCTTCTGTTTTGAAAATACTGATTTATGTTATCCCTTCCCCAGTCTTCTGGAATGTGACCAAATTCTCGAACTGGGGGATGACTTTGTGAAGCCAGCAATGAAATCCATTCTGCTGACCTTGAATAATTCTGGAGTGATAAAGTCCAGTACTTTATTGCTTGTCAGGCATCTGTCAGTCTGTCGTTACAGCCCTTCTCTGCAGGACCATTGGTATAACTGCTTACACTTGTTATAAGCCCAGTGGCAGTCTGGTTCCTAATTCAAATGACACCCCCCAGACATGTTGCATGTCAGTGCCGTGGGAGTGGCCCTTGTGTCACGCTTAGCTGGGGGATGTGACGGCAGTGGATGCCCACCCAGAACTTCATAAAGCTCTAGAAACTGGGTGAGGCAGATGGTCAAAAAGTGACCATAATATCTCATAATAAGATCTGAAAGCGATTGTCAAAAGAACTTTATATCTACCTTTTAATACCAATACTTCAAGTCAAACTTTTATTTACGTGTTTTATGGGAAATTCTGTCTCTTACCTTTATTCTTTATGCCTTGAGTCTCTGTTGTAAGCATAAGATGGGTAGCAAAGACAGGCGATAATAACCACAGAGAGGAGAAAATATAAATATGGAAGAATACAGACACATCTCTGAGAAACCTGTGTGGTAAACCATGCGCATTATGGTGTGTATATTCAGTGTTTCCATATGTCTTGTCTGTGAAAAAAAAAATGCAAATGGTACCTTAGCATTGTGTAAAGAATGAACCTGGGATGCGGTGATCCTGGGCATGCTTGCTGAGCACTGAGCAAAGTGCGGGAGAGGTTGTCTCATCTGCATCAGCGTGATGGGAACAGACAGCAATGGGATGCTGGCAGAAGTACGAAAAAAAATAGATTTTAAGATATAAAATGACCATTTTACAAGTAGCAGAACAGTTACACAGGAGGATGTTATATTGTTGGGTTCCTGAAGAAGAGGTTAAATTAATATTTGTAAATTCAGATTCCTAAATTCTTGATTAAATTCACAGAAATAGTGGGTTTACTTGCACCCTTTCACTTTTCCTGATGCAATCCTTTGATAGAATCTTTAATGTTAGAGTCTTTTTCTTGAGAAGGAACACAATGTAAAGCACAGCTTTTTGTCTACATTTTAAGATGCCAA